TTGAAAAATCGATTGTGAAACTTCCCGTCAATGAGACCGCAAAGCACAAAGATGAGAAACTAGACAAGAGTTTTGGAGGAAGCGCAGAGGATGGAAGTTGAAGATGAAGAGAGGGCAAATTGTCTGTTTTCTTCGGGAGGGCAACGCGTAACGAGCATCCGTACGGGAAGCGGGCCGGGAAAGTGGGAGGAACTGGGTCTCCGGGACACGTCACGATTGGGAAATGTGCAAGATATGGTCGTCTTGTGAGAATTCAACGGCGTTTGGGCTCTGCTTTATTACCTCTATTCTCCATGTTTTCTCGCCTGATTCCATCTTTTTTTTTTTTTTTTTTGCGCGGTAGAATATATGAACAGGTTGAACCGCCAAATAAGCTTCCCAACGACTGTCTCGGGGGGAGAGAAAAGTTAGCATGCCCGTTTCCCGGTATCCCGCCGGACCCGTCGGCCAAGAACTTTGATGAAAGCCTCCGGGGAAAATGATGAGTCGACCGGGTCTCCACCAGTTGATTAGGTGACGACTTTACGAGACACGACCGATACTGAGAAATCCCTCGTATGAGGTAGAGTAAGGTTATGTATGGATGGTATGCGCGTATGGTATCCGTCGTTCGCCTAATGTGAGCCTCCCGGTCGCATGCTCCGTCAATGAAGCACCATTGCTCCCCCCCCTTGCGGCATATGCGCTCCTCGCGTACCGGCGCGTTGTCCCGCCGAGAATGTCCGCTCGGTGGGAGACTGCCTCCCGGGCTTTATGGGAGCCGGAGTGGGTCGGGAGTATTGGTGGCCACTCGTCCTGAGGAACCTTGTACGGAGAACGAAGTACCTGACCTGGGTGCGCTCCAATCGCGCCGAGCTGAAGAACACATGGGAGAGCCAAAGTGGGCAGAGAGGGTGAGATCCCGCCCGCTCCCTCCCTCCACACAGTCCACCGTTGGAACTTGGACCAACTATTTGTGACCTCATTCCTTTCTTTCCCCTCCAAACCACCCCGCCATCCCATTCCGATTCCCCCCCCCTCCTCCCATCTTCTGCCCCTCCAAAAAAGATCTCCCCCATTTGGAGCTTGCTAAAACATTGATCGGCGACCACACTACCCTTATCCCATTGATATTTTCCTCATCAAGCAAATCAGACGTCTACAAGGTCTTCAATTGATTTTAATCTCAATTGGGGTTTCTTCTTTACAATCCGAGTTGCCCTTTCATTGGACGATTATAGCTAGCTAGTTGTACGGAAACACAACCACCAACGACAAATCACCATGGCGGACCTCAACCTCCAAGAAATCCACGACACCCTCCTCGAGATCGCGACCGAGGCGGGCAAGATGATCATGTCCGCGAACCCGGCCTCGATTGACCAGGACACCAAGCTCAACTGTACGCAATCCCTCATCCAATCCCTTCACCTCTCCATCCATTGAAAGCGCATCCCCCCCCCTCTCCCCCCCCCCCGGCCATCCTCAGCCCTCTCTCTCTCAACAAGTTGCAACACCTTGACTAACTTCTCCTCACCCCCTTCCGAACAGCCGTCGACATCGTGACCGAAACAGACCAAGCCGTTGAGAAAATGGTGTCCACCCGCCTCTCCGAACGCTATCCCACCATCGCCTTCATGGGCGAAGAAACCTACACAAAGGGAACCCGCCTTGGCCCGGAACCGACCTTCGTCGTCGACCCCATCGACGGCACCACAAACTTTGTCCACTCCTTTCCCGATGCCTGCATCTCTCTAGGTCTAGCCGTCGACCACGTCCCCGTCGTCGGTGTCATCTACAACCCCTTCCAGGATCTTCTCTTCACGGGCATCAAGGGAAAGGGCAGCTACATGCGCCGCGCCGGTGGTCCAGCACAGAAACTGCCCCTCGCCAAGAACCCTATCCCCCTGAAAGGACTGGATTCCGCGCTGCTGGCGTGCGAGTGGGGATCGACCCGCGACGGACCCAATTTCGACCTCAAGGCCGAGACGTTCAAGAAGCTGGCGGCGACCAAGGAGACGGGCGGGGCGATGGTGCATAGCATGCGCGCCCTCGGCTCCGCGGCACTGAATCTCGCGGCCGTGGCGGCGGGACAGCTGGATGCGTATTGGGAGGGCGGGTGCTGGGCGTGGGATGTGTGTGCGGGTTGGTGTATCTTGACCGAGGCGGGCGGGATCATGGCGGGCGGGAATCCGGGGGTGTGGGAGCCTGCTGTTGATGAGAGGGTGTATCTTGCTGTGAGGGGAGCTCCGGGCGGGCAGAAGGAGCTTGTGGAGGAGTTTTGGGGGGTGATGGGGGATAAGAAGTTGGATTATTCTGTTTGAGAGGTGAGAGGGGAGTTTGATGATGAATTAATATGAATGAGATTTGGATAAGGTACCTAGATCAGGAGGAAACAGGTATTAGATTTGGTGTGTAGATCTACAATATAGACCATGTCTTGGAATCTCGAATATCAAACGTCAATTTCAATATGAAATACCGTATAACCATGCTAGCACCGAGGCAAAGTAAGTTCATTAGCCACAACCAGTAAAAAGAGTTCCCCCCCCCCCCTGATGGCGATTGGGGGCTACATCTCTTGGTGCTCATGCTGGGAAATTTTGGGTGCTCATTCCGGGACTCGAACTCGGGTGATTCTCTCGTATGCGCTAAGCCTGTCGTCGAGTAGGCTGGTTGGCGTTCAGATTGTTGACCATAAACCACTCCACCACCGAGCCAGTTTGACCTGACCCGTCGACCTAGACGGGCGCCTGCTGGCTGGTGACGAGGATGGGTTTGAGGGGGGGTATATACCCCTTCAGCCTCGTGGCGGGCGGTGAGGTGGTGTGTCACGTGTGGGAGACACCTTGTGTTTGATGAGGACGGGAGGGAAGGTACGGTTGATGATGAGGGAAGGTGCGGTCAACGTCCTAGGCGAGGAAGGCGTAAGGTAGGCGGGTCATGAATGTGTGGAAGGTACGGTTGATGCCAAACCCACTTGATTCATCTGGCCTTCCATATTCATGCGCAACTACCTGAATGACCTTGCCTCACTCCCACCTGGATGGGAAAATTAAACGGCGATAAGGCTTGGTGGTTGCGGTGAAGTAGATGAAGTCCCGCGCTTTTCTCCCATATCCGCTTAGCAAACTTGGTGTGTGTTCGTCCGAAGGCTTTTACCATCTCACATTAACCAGGGAGTATTGCCGCATGAACGATTTCAAAGATGTTGCATTATTGATCTTCAGACGATTGAACCCATGTATTGTAAGACGTATCATTCCTCTTCACTAAGAAGTCCTATATGGACCCGAGCCAAAGCCGGCAACCCAGCAGCTCCTTAGCGCCACGTGGGGGACCGTAACCGAACGCCGTTAGTGGTCAATGCTGGATGCGAATCCCCCAAACTCACAAAAGGCCCACCAACCCCCGTTACCACGTTGAAGACTGCGCCCTCCATTATCGCGGACAGAGACCAGCATATTTGTGACTGCTGCGGTTGATGTCCACAAAGATCTTGACTACTGAACAGACATGAAAACCAAACAGCATACAGTCTGCGATGAGTGCAGAAGACGAAAACTTGGCGTAAGAGTCCGCAAAGTATGAGAGAGACCTGGCTAACGCTTCGTTTTGGCAGTGCGATGGAAAGCAGCCCTGCTGCTCTCAGTGTGTCTTCTCTAGCCTGATTTGCCCAGGGTACAAGAAACACATTGTATTCCGCCAACCTTTATCACCTGGCTCGGTCGCTTCAGGTCAGCGGAAGAAGCGGGCACGTCAAAACAGGACACCCAATCCCGCAAGTCAAAGGCCGAGACCTCCGACTCGGGCCTTGACTTGGCCGCTCAGCGACGTACTCTCAATGTGCATACAAAACTTTGTCCCTGCCAACGAGTTAGGTTCGATGTCCAGTACTTCAAAGCCTTCACAGTCTCGAATATGCGGAGCATGGGTGGAAGTTCTGCCGGGAATCGTCGGGACAGATGGGAGGCATGACGGACCTTTATCCTCCGCCATCAAAGCTCTGGGGATCTCACTGATGGCCAGAGGCCCCAAGGGGCGAGCTCCTGTTCATGAAGCCATTGAAGCGCACTCCTCAGCGCTCAAGGCTGTAGGGTGCCTCATCCCACACGCCAATGAGGATCCGAACAACTATACCGAGATATCTGCAGCCATCATGTGCTTGTTCCTGTCAGAGGTAGGAGATTCTCGGTCTCTATTCGGTCTCTTGTAGGTACCTTTACTCACATAAGACTGTCCCAGAAATTCTTTCCCACATCGAGCTATGCAGCGACAGTCCACGCAAGGGGCATCGGTGAGCTAATTCAACTCCGCCCGCCGCACTTCTACGCATCTGGAACACCCCACAAACTTTTCGTTGGGTTCAGACCAATTCTAGTACGACAGCCCGTATTCATCATCACCTCAGGTCACCTGTGCTGATATCTCAGATTCTCCATGCGTTTGACACTCGGAAATCGACCTTTCTCGGGGCGCCTGAGTGGAAAGAAGAGCCGTTTCGACGTGTAGTCCAAGACCCCCTCCAGGCCCTCTTGAGTGAGGCCTGCGCCATACCCGCTATTTTCGAGATGATTGATCACTGCAACGAAGATAGTGAATCTACCGCCCGCAACGCCGTGGTCCAGTTTGTGGAAGCTATCAAGCGCCTGGAATTTTGGCACAAGTCAGCAAACATGACCATGAGAGACTTTACACGTTTGCAAAAGGTCTCACCAGCCAATACCACCGGCCTCGAATTCCCAAATATCACCGTGGCTAATTCATTGAGTCACTACTGGGCGTTCTGGATTATTTGCGCCACCCAGATACAGCGATTAACAGCGCACCACCCAAATATCTCACAAGATTGTCTTCTGATAGACGGCGAATACCCCGCAACCAAAGCGGTGACCCAGAAGGTTCTCCAGCTATCGTCTTTTATCCTTCAAAGTACAAGCTATTTGATGCGGGAGGACATGAAACTCTACGGCACAGCATCTGCGTTCTTTCCTTTACACATTGCGAGGGGTGCGTTGGAAATGTTTGGAGGCGGTGATGAGGCCATTTGTGAGCAGTTGGCAAGGAACGCTGAGGTTATACGCCAACAAGGATATGAGGATGTGTTATTGCATAGACGGACAACACTTCTCAGTTGACGTTCGGTCAATGATAGACCTCGTCAGCTTTTGTTGGAGCAGACGTATCTGTGGTTACACAGCAAGGACGACAATGGCAGTAAGGACGACAATGGCAGCACGGACGATGACGATGACGACGACGACGACGACGACGACGACGACGACGATAGTAACGGTTAAAATGAGATTAAATGATAGGAATGAACAACGCGCTACTCGTCGTACCATAAGTATCTAGCCCGATGGCAAAGCGTTATGCAATATCTTTGCTCTTCACCACAGTGCCGAATGCATCCGCAATTTCAGCCAACGCAATCTTCGTCAACTCCTCAGCATTTGCTCCAGGGATATCGCGGTCACCGACGGCGTCTTCAACAACGATCACGTCCCACCCCTTTTCACTCGCCTGTCGAGCAGTCGTCGAGATACAAACGTGCGCCTGTCGAAGAAAATGGAAAGTTAGTCTCTGGTACAACTTCTCGTCTACAAGTCATCTTTACCATGTATCCAGTCAAAACCACCTTGTTCCTTCCAGTAGCCTTTAGCAAATCTTCCAGGTTTGTACCCGTGAAGGAGCCCGGAAAGTGCTTGGTAACCACACTTTCCCCCTCGAGCGGCTTCAGCTCTGAAAACTCCTCGGCGAGCTCGGTGCCGGGAGTGAAGAGTGGGGCACCGGCCGGCACTTCATGGACGACGTGGATGACCGGAGCCTTTGCGGCGCGGTATCTCTCAAGCAGAGAAGCGATTTTTGCTCGAGATGCTTCCACGTTTGAGACTGCTAGCTTGCCGGTTGCGTACTCGTTTTGAGCGTCGATGATGACCAGGGTGCTGTCGCTCGTGGAGGTTGTAGATGCTGGCACGCCGAGCATGGAACGCATCGATACTGCTGCAGACGCCATGGTGATTTGTTGTTCGCCGCGAAAATTCTGGAAAGAAATCTGAAGAAGGTGTTGTACGAGTGATGATGTGAGCGGATGATGCTGGTAATCGTCTGAGGGCTTGTACTATCGCTGGCTCCTGGGTCATATATCCGTACAGAAAGGTTCCGGGCTTTCGGTGTGTTAGTGTGCAAGGGTTCTCCAGTAGTGGATGGCGCTAGGCCAAGTAAGGCATCATAACCCGCCAAGACAACAGATCCCCAGATGATGGAGAACGATCGAGGGGCCCCAAACGGATGAGAAATGGCCAATCGGAAGCCACCAAAGTCTGCAATGACGCCGGATTAGAGATGTCTTGGCGAATTATGAATCCTATTCTGGTCAAGCGCAGCGGTCTCATGAAGGCATGGAGGAACGCCCGTTTACCGCTACTCGTCCTGCAAATATGATGACAGTCAAGCTCGTGCCTCAACATCGGCCCATCGGCAATGAAAAATTATTGTTTCTAAGCTTGATAATCTCCAGGCTTCTACAACTGACAAATCCTTCCTGTTGATTAGTGATGGAATGTAATCATGATTCCCAGTTGATGCTAAACAAATAGATATTTCAAGGAGTTCAGCATTGAAATGACATAATCTGCTTTCAGTGTAACCGGGAAAATTAGAATCATCAATGATAGCGAAAAGCTTCTTGAGCCTCACTACCTCGTTGTCCACAAACGGCCAGTATCACATTCCCCAGAGCGCATAAACTTACTACTCTGGCAAGACTAAGTCTCACAACATTGTAGTAAAATTGAGAGCCTATGGTATCAACGCAACTTGTCAAAGTCCTTGCCTCAAAACCTTAGGGCTGACGGGTGGCTTGAGATGACGTTAGGTGGGGAGTCCACTGTCAATGTCATTTTGATGAAAGGCATTCGACTTTAGCGTTGTTGCTGTCAAGCCCACATGCCAACCCATGTCAAAAGTGCTATTTATCTCTAGTGTGACTACCCTACCAAATATTGTATGCTTTTGGGTTGGTAATCGGCGTCTTGCATCGATTTATCAAAGCGTTCACTGCTGAATCATGGTTGCCAGTTGTAAGTCTTGGGTTGGTCAGACGTGAGAAAGCCTTCTTTCCAATCCCCGAGAGGCATCGGAGCTTATACAGCGTATACCCCTTTCATATATAAGGAACACTTTGAAGCGTTTATTCCAACGAACATGAATGAAAACGACATTACAAAATAGCTTCTACCTCCAGTCGCGTCATCTACCAACAGCCCCTCTTCAGACGGTTCAACAATCGTGATCTCCATCAAACCTTTGACAATGTCTTCCAATACCTTCAAGCCTAAAGTGAGCATCACTCACGTTGGAACTGCGACAGCCATCCTTGATATAGATGGCGTGCGCTTCTTGACCGACCCTTTCTTTTCCCCAGCGGGCACCACTTGGGATGTGGGTATCACCATCCTCCAGAACACCGAGGATCCTGCTCTCAAGCTCGATCAGCTTCCTCCCATCGACGCAGTGCTGTTGAGCCACGAAGACCACCCCGACAATCTCGACGAGCTGGGCCGCCGGCTCCTCGACGGCCGACACGTCTTCACGACCATGGACGGGGCCAAGAACCTCGCTCCTCGCCCGGCGGTCGTTGGCATGGAGCCGTGGACAACCGTTGAGAGACGCATCGGCGGAAAGGTCTTCCGCATCACGGCCACCCCGTGCCAGCACCTACCCGGCGGTGAATGCATTGGATTCTTGCTGTCGTCCGACGACTTCGGGGTTGGACCGAACAAGCTGCCGAACGCCATCTACTTTACGGGCGACACGGTCTATATGGACGAGTTGACTACGATTGCCGACAAGTTTCACGTGCCTATTGCCATGATGAATCTCGGTTCCGCCCATGTGCAGTTTCCGGACAGGGACGCACCGCTGCAAATCACCATGGACGGCAAGCAGGCGGCTCGTCTTTTCCGAGAGATCAAGGCAGACTATTTGGTGCCCATGCATTACGACAAGTCGTGGGGTCATTTCACGCAGTTTGAGGAGGGACTGGCCAAGGATTTTAGAGTTGAGGGTGTTGATGGCAAGGTCAGGTGGTTGAAGCCAGGAGATGCAGTTGAAATTATCTGACTGGCAATAACGAACCCCTTAATGTAGTAGCATAGTTTGGAGACATATCCTCATTAATTGGAAGGATTGAACAGAACTTGTAACAAGAATCTAATTGTCTCTCGGTCTCGACAAATGCTGACAACGCTGCGAGTTCGAAACGCGGGTATACATCACGAGGCAAAAATACCAGTAATTCAGAGAAAAAGGAAGAAGAAAAAGAGACACGCTTTAATAACCAATTTTAGATTGTCACCGTATCTTTCACGCTGCAATCCTAATCCCGTATTATTACAACAATGCTAAGTCAAGGTCTGCTTCATCATTAGCCATACCAAGAAAAAAGAGTCCATCCGCCTTTCCCCCGTTGAGTAGGGGCTACATCTCTCCATGCTGTGATTCGAACTCAGTCGCTTAGCCTGTCATAGAATAGGCTGGCTGCCGTTTAAAATTTGAGTGTTGACCATACACCAATCCACCACCCAGTCAATTTGGCCTGACGCGTCGACACCTAGACGGGCGCCTGCTGGCTGGTGACAGGAATAGTCTTGCAGGGGGCATATCCTTTCAGCCTCGTACGGTGTGTCACGTATTGAGACATACGGGGAAGGGGAAGGTATAGATTATCAAGTACCTGAGTGTTCTAGTTAGTGGACGAGAACCTCTCGTTATGAGACCTGGTGTCTTTGTGCTAGCTCGGGCCTAATAGTGTCGGCAGACGCTGCAATAGGATAATTATTCGATGTGCCATTGTGTTGAAATAGTTGATTCCTTTTGCCCCTTTATTGGGGGCACGGAAGCGCAGAGTGCTGGTTCGGGCCGCTGCAGAGAGATATGAATTTTGCCTTGGCCTGCATATGAAATCGGTCTCGGTGACCAGCTCATCGCAGTCGGGGCCGTCTGTGCTATTCGTTTGGCGAATTAGACATGAACACAAGATACCACGCATGGCTAGCTGAAAAAGCTGGGGACGTTGTAATTGTCCAATTGGATTACGTTGCAGTCGGCGCGTATGTGCATATGCAATAGCTTCCGTGAACGGCAAGAATGACGGGGATGAGCCCTATTTCGTGCTGCAATAAAACTGTTTGGTGATCTGTTGGACTGCAACAAAATTATGTATGAAAAAGTGGTCAAGATTGAGAATTTCGGGGGGGGCGTTACACCTCCCCGCAGGCAGCTTGGTATTCTTTGACTTTCCCTTCCAAACTTCAACAGCCAACAACGAGTGTCACCGTCTTCAATCTTGGTTCACACCACATTTTGGCCAACAAAAATCGCTTGTCGCCATGTGTCTCGCTTGTTTCAAGTTCTGGCACAAGGACAAAACAAGAGATGTCTCCTCAGCTCATTCGGCTCAGCCGTCCAATTCTCTGTCGGCATCCGATTCTCTGTCGGCATCCAAAGCTCTGCCGACAGACAGCCTACAGGAGCGCCTGTGGATTGAGGCATATCATGCCCTTGAGGCCGAGGAAAAAAGTATGGTGGAAGCATACGAAGAACTCCTTGTCCACAGGCTTAAGAATATCAGCGGCGATTCCGGTTTCTTGGGAAGCCCCCAAATCACTCCTGAAACACTGAAAACGCCAGACCAGTTGAAGAGATTTGTCGACGCCGGGCTCGAAGAGTCGAAGAAGATTGCAGCCGTCAAGAAGAACATTGAGAAATTCAATCAAATCTTTTTGCCAGTAAAAGAAGTGATGAACGTTGTCGTTCTGACGGCTCCGCAGGCCGCTATCCCATGGTCTTGCGTCTCTTTCTCTCTCCAGGTTGGTCGATCTGGCTATTTGAAACTTGATTTATGATCACTAACTTGACCAGATCCTTGCAAACCCTTTGACGGAGTCCAGTATCAACCGTGAAGGCATCACATACGTTTTGTCGACTATGGATTGGTACTGCAATCTCGTTAAGCTTCTTATCGATGGCGAGGATCGGTCGAAGAAGCTCAGAGATGAACTCGAGAAACAAATTGTCGAGCTGTACAAAAAGCTTCTCCTGTACCAAATGAAGAGCGTCTGTCGTTACTACAGGTCTCAGATCCTAGTCTTACTTGGAGATGTCTTCAAAATCGATGACTGGACGGGAGAACTCACTGGTGTTAAGGAAGCCGAGGATCAGGTGCGGGCCAGGCTCGGCCAGTATCAGGACTCGTCGATTTGTGACTCGCTCAAAACCCTGGCTGGTGCCATGCAGCATCAAACCAACCAAATTCAAGATCTGTCATCCTTGACTCAGAGGCAGACTCAAGCGCAACAAGACAGAGACAAGCGCCAGGAAAGGGAAAATTGCCTGATTGACTTCCGTCAGAAAGTTGACCCCCATCACGAAAAGGACCGTATACAGATCGAAAAAGGGGGACTTCTTCGAGATGCTTACTCTTGGGTCCTGGATCACGAAAGTTACCAGAGATGGCACAAGGAAACTCGTCACAAGATACTATGGATCAAAGGCGATCCGGGTAAGGGGAAAACCATGCTCTTATGCGGCATCATCGACGAACTAGAGACGGACCCTACTCACACCCTATCATATTTCTTCTGTCAAGCCACCGAGACGACACTCAACAGTGCCACTGCTGTGCTACGAGGGCTTATCTATGGACTTGCAAAGAGATATCCGCAGGTCGATCGGTATATCTACGAAAAATACAAAGATGGCGGCGGAAAGGCGGCATTTGAAGGAGATAGCGCATGGGGAGTGATGTGTGGTATTCTGAAAGCCATACTGGACGATCCAATGATGAATGGTGTGCTGTTGATCGTGGATGCTCTCGACGAATGCGTGGAAGGTCGCCAGAAGCTTTTGGATTTCATTTGCGAGAGATCAAACGATTCTCGTGCCAAGTGGATCGTGTCAAGCCGCAATTGGCTGGAAATCGAGACAAACCTCGAGAGGATTACGGAACGCACGTCAGCACTGTCCCTGGAGTTGAACAGAGATCTCGTTGCCCATGCTGTTCGCACGTACATTCGAAGAAGGGTAGACAAGCTTGCTGAGAAACAACCTTACCATGATGACCTCGAACTCCGCAACCATGTCCAACAGTACCTCAACGAAAATTCGAGCGACACATTCTTATGGGTGGCGTTGGTCTGCGATGCGCTTCGCCAAGACAACATCCTAAGACGAGCCCACGTCATCGGACCGAAAGGGGTTCTGCAAACGTTCCCTAAAGGGCTCGACAAGCTATACAAGCGCATGTTCCAGTACATTTCTGGTACTATGGATGCAGATCTATGCAAAGATGTTTTGGCCGTCACTTCGATACTGGAACGCTCTGTCACATCTCTTGAACTTTCCTCCATCATGGGGCTGTCGCAACATTTCGACGGTCAAGTTGAGACTTTGCAAGATGCTGTGCGATGTTGTGGTTCTTTCTTGAGTCTTCGGGATGGAACTGTCTATTTCGTGCACCAGTCAGCCCAAGACTTTCTACTCAACAAGGAGGAGGACGCCTTTGACTCTATATTCCCGGACGGAGTCGAGAGCGTGCATTGGGCCGTAGGTTTGAGATCGATGGATGCCATCTCCAAGGTCATACACCGCAACATCTATGAGCTACAAGATGGATGCATGGCCCGAAAGGATATCGTCGGGCCTAAACCGAATCTCTTGGCCTCTGTTGCATATTCTTGCGCTTATCGGATGAAACATCTGGGAGAATCAAACACTGCGAGTTACATCAAAGACCCTAAGGCTGTCAATGAGTTTCTTCGAACCAAGTTTCTTTACTGGCTCGAGGCCCTCGCTCTCCTCGGTGAGCTGTCGCAAGCAGTGCAAGGCATACAGAGGCTTCAGAGTGTGATTGTGAGTCAGACTGCAATTTTTGATGACATAGGTTCCCAAGCTAATCGCATATCAGAGAGCAAAGCCAAGCTTGAAAGACCAAAGTCTAGCAGACCTAGTCCATGATGCAAACCGCTTTCTCCTAGACCATAAAGAAATGATCGCCGAGTTTCCTCTGCAGGTTTACAGTTCAGCTTTGTTATTCAGCCCTGAACAGAGTGTTATCAGAAAGCTCTTCTTGAAAGATCACGCGCCCGAATGGATTTCGATAAAGCCAGGCTTAGACGCGATGTGGGATATGCGCCTGCAGTCGCTCCTCGGGCATGAAGATATTGTCAAAACTATGGTATACTCACCAGACGGCCAATGGATTATTTCTGGCTCTGAAGATGGAGTTGTTAAGCTCTGGCGAGCAGATAGTGGAAATTGTGAACACACATACAGTGGTTTCGGCGAAGAACTTTGCAGCTGGTCCAACAAAATCAAGAAAGCCGGTGTGCAGTCAGTGGCCTTTTCAGGAGACAGTCAAAAGTTTACCGCCGCGTCCGGCAACGAAGTCATTAAGGTCTGGGATCTAAAGACCAATCAAGTCGAGATTTTCAGAGGCCACGAAGAGACGTCAGTGGTCACGACGATGGCCATATCGCCGGACGGCCGCACTTTTGCGTACGGTCTGGAAAGCGGATTGATTCATGTTTGGAGCATGTACAAGGAAGTCCCTACGCACAAATTCAGGGCTGACACCGGGAAAATAAGCTTGTTAAGCTTCACGACAGACGGCCGATGGCTTGCTTCAGTATCTTCTTATGGATCCGGTCACCCCAAGATCTGGAATACTTCGACAGGGGAGTGTAAGAAAGAGATCAGACATTGGTGTTATAAGTTTATGGCGATTTCGGGTGACGGACAATTGATCGCGTTTGCGACTCACCATGTTTTCGTTTGTGACACAAATTCTGGCCAGCTGATTTGGACACTCGAATGCGACTCCGAACCCGGTAACGTGAAATATGGCTCACTTCCCGAGTCCTTCAATTTCTCAAAAGATGGAATGCTTCTAGCGGCTTCGTTCTTCCATTGCATCCGCGTATGGAACATGGCAACGGGCGATCTTACCTGGAAGACCTCACGTTGTGAGCCTATTATCAGATCGTTGGCATTCTCCCCGGACAGCGAGAGACTTGTGACAGCATGTTTTGATCGAGCCATCAAAGTATGGGATCTAACAAAAGGCAACAAAAGTATGGCTGATGATCATTTTGCCAGAAGTCTGTGCTACTCTGATGAACATCATTTTGCAGTCTGCTATCCCGGCTGTCGGGAGATCGCAACTTGGAGCACGTCAACCGCAAATGATCTGAAAGTACAGAAGTTTCATGCGGACAGGGTGTCTGTTATTGCCATGTCCAAGGATCATCAACTTCTTGCGTCAGCTTCTTCTAGGGGCCAGGTTATTGTATGGGAGACGAAAACCGGTGCCCATACACAAATATTTGGCGAAGATTCAGCGGATGCTAAAGGAGGTAACACAACCGGCGACATAGATGACGAAACTGACGGCTATATGAAACAAATAACGTCCTTGGCCTTTCGAAACAGCTCTCAGCTTGCCTGTGGAAGTTGAGAGACAATCAGAATCTTGAACACATCTGATGGTACAACCGCGCAAGCAAACCACGAAGCTTGCAAGTTTGTTGAGCTCATGGAATTCTCGACAGATGGCCAGTGGCTCGCCTATACGTCTTATGATCACGGCCGTGTTAATGTGTCCGGTTTCAGTGTTTGGAATATGGCTACTGAAGCACTTTTTTTCGCTAGTCCCTCCGATATTATTGCATGGACACGTCCAGTCACTGAGCTTTTTCACAGATGGTCAGCTGCTTGTATCAGCTTCGCAGAGGGAGGATATATATCTGTGGGATGTGACAACTGGCCACTGTATACGTCACTTAGAACTTTACGGGGCTACCGCTATTCTGGCATCTTTTGATGCAGGCATCAAAAGGCGCCTGAACACCCAATTTGGCTTCCTGACCATCGAGGATTCAGGGCCAGGCCGCCTGGGCCTTGGCAACTTGGATGCAAACATCTGTGGAGATGCCGGAGCAGCGGCCCAGGGCCTCGAAAAAGCAACATGTGCAGAAAGTTCGGGAGAAAGTTCGTTGCCACCTTTTTTGCGGGTATGGTTTCAGCTTCGAGTTCGACTGGCTCGTACTAGATGGACGTCGATTGCTTCGGATTCCGCCGGACTACAGAGGAAATACTTTGAGCGAAATGACGCCGATTATCAATCAGTCAGCACTCATATGGATTAGCTGGACAGGAAGATTAGTACGATTGTACTTTCCATCACGACACTAGACTTCGAGGGCATTTTGGCGAGGCAATATCCCGTTACTATATGGAATTGAAGCCAATCAGAAATGAAAGGATCGAATGATTTCGCAAAATCGTGACAGTGAATGATAGTGTAGACATTGCAATCGCATCCACTACCGCGAGCATCTCAAGAATTAAGGCGACATAGAGCCATTGGTAAAGTCCGGTACGGTAAAGTAGGAATAGAGCACCAGCCATCTCGACATGGGGAAGACCCCTGGATGTTTCTCCCCCCTTACCTAAGATACCTAAAGCAGTCAAATATCGTTGAGGAATACCGGATCTAACTATCTCTTCGATAGCAGTTCAAAAGGGGAAGATAGCACGGCTGACCATTGGTATCGCATCGAGTGCAGAATAGCGTCAGTACATCGCTGCTTAGGGCATTCACGAATTATGTTTTCTTCTTTATTATTACTTCGTACTATGCGTCTTAAATCCTTCCGATGCACCCAATTAACAACATTCAAAAGGGATCAGCGTTAGAGAAGATCGGAGACATATGTACTAACTCCATTTCGTACTCGATGGCATAGGCTACCCGAGTAAGCACCTAGGTAAGATAACCTTTCACCCCATGTGGCGCCCCTCACACCCGAAGTAGAACCCAAGATACGTTTTCTCCCCTTTATTCTTCCAATGAATGAGTTTCTCAAATAGGAACCCTGGCCGGCATCGATCTCAACACGACATCAGGCAGCATAATACCACCAGTAGGTAGCTTCGGCGCAGCCTGCCGATGGCGCTTGTGAGACAACATAAAGTAACACCAAAACACGAAAACGCCCAGAGAGACGATCCGTACCACCTATTCACATGCTTCAATTGACCGAGAAGAAGTCAATATCCCACTCAAGGGCGTGGATTTTCAACCTGGAGCCAATTCGCCAGCGGACGAGACGAAAATCGAGATCCAAGTCACATACCGTCGAGCGACAGGAAGCCACACACTCGCCATCGCGTGCCACATCACACAGGATCAACGGATAGCACTCATTTATACGGAAAACTATCAAACAGCATCTCAACCGCATCATTCACAGCAAAACAAGAGACGTCGTCAAAGGCGGCTCTGTTCACGACGTCGAACAGGCGTGGGGGTTGATGAGAACGTCAGCGCCCTATAGGATGGCGTGCGCGGGGTGGGTGGGGCACGCCGCCAGGGACCATGGCACACCCTTGTCTCTGGCCGTTAAAGAGTCTCATTTTGAGAATGAAACATTTGATATCGACAAATGCCAATGTAGAATGCCGCTAAATCACAATCCCATCGAGTTTCGAGTGGCAAATGTCCAGGTGGCCACCTTGTTGGACAGCGCAAAGTATCGTGTTGATAGGCAATCATGGCAGTGTGTGGTTGCCACCACGTCCTGTGATAGGCGGAGATCAGCGCCGTTGGGCGTTTCCCAGACCGGAAAACTCCTGGAACCCGGGGGGAAAACACAACAAAACAGAAACAACCGGGTGGCTAACTCTTCTAGCGTTCGCCACAAGCGTTTCCCTCCAGGTAACCAGCTTGTGACTCAAGACTGTTGATCTCTACACGTGTGAAAGGCAAAGATAGTCAAAGAGCGTTGTTAGTGACCGAGTGCCACCCACCCCACTCCCCACGGCTTCACACCCCTCCAAGGATTCCAAACGGGAACTAGCGCAAGTTCCCATGAGGAACCCTGTCGTGGGGCCAGCCGGAAGATGATGCCTGCAGATGGGGATGCGGGGCGAAGAACAGATTCAACGTCGCTGAAAGGGGGGTTATTTGATGATATTTTGGGTTGAAGGAGCGGTTCGAGAGAAGGAGAAGAGGGAGGGAACTGTGAAGAAGCAGCCATCGAGGTGGGAGCAATGCACTTGGTGGGAGGACAGGTTGGTCGAAAAAGTCGGTGGAGTTGGATGGCGGCCCAGCACTCGTGTTGGGACTTGGGAAGAGGATGGAGGTTCGGCGAGCTTGTTACCGAGGACTGTCCGTACGAAGAAGGATAAGCGGTAAATGCATTTAAGCCGTGTTCTGGGATTCTCTAGCGGCGTTGCATGTGGGCGGTGGAGAACTAAACACGGAGCGTAGCGGTGGGTACGGGCTTGCGGGCGGCGCTAACGATCGTGGTGGTGCGTGTCACTCGAGTTGAGCTGCGAAAAGCATAATTCCATGCTGGCGTGAGAATGAGATACCTTAGCTCAGATGTGAGATAAGCTTGCAGGCAAGGCTAAGGTATCAAGGCGCGAGGGCGAGGACCGTTATCTCGCAGCCGGGTAAAAGGACGACATACCACCCGCGACTAGAAGTGAGGCCGTTGGAACCTTGGGTTGGCCTCTCTGTCTCTGCCACCGAGCAGGACGCATACAGGCACGCAGGCACGCAGGGTGCACTGCAGCTGTTGTTGATGAAAGAGGTGCAGCTTGGGAGATTTGACGAGCGTCGCGTCGCATCGGCTTCGAAACGGTGTGCAGCGAGCAGCTGTCAGACCCGGCCTGAGTGGGCTACTTCATACTCCGTACGGATAAAAGAGAATGTTGATGCGGAGAGGAGAGCAGGGCAGGGCAAAGGCAGGGCAGCTGCGTGGTGCTTCCTTGCCTGTCAACAAATGCATCGACGGGGACTGGGGGACGACCGAGGTCGGCGCTGGGATTGATTGCGCTAAGAAGGCCTGCAAAGTGGATGGACGGGCTTGCGAGTTGCGACCTTGTGCTGGCCCTGGTTCGACTGCCGCTCGTCCACTTTCTGTGTTGCTATTTGCTTTATCCGTACGGAA